TAAATCATTAGAGGTTAGCTTTACACACGAATTAAAGTTTTGTCTATCTTTCGGGTTCAAATCGGACTTCGTCAATCCATGATCAAGTTTTGTATACTGATCGCTATTAATAATATCTTGTAGGTGTTCAATACTAATTCTATCTTGTCCTAGACGTAAATCAGCTGTTGTTGATAAAAGACGATTACGCCATTTAGTGACGAGATGAGAAGGATCTTGAAAGAACAAAAGAAGTTGTTTTTTTCGAAGAAAAAACCAAGTCCATTGAGACGGTAAGTCTATGTTGAAAGAATGTGGATGATCACCAAATTTTGAATTTTGAACAGGAGAAAAAAATCCACTTGCTGTACGCATGGCACTCATGTATCTGCTGTCTGCATCTAATTAGAGTACGATAGAAAACAAGTATATGTTTAAATCACAATCATAAAAAACAAGTATGAAATGTTTGATATTTACCGGTGGAAATTCCAATTAGTCTAATTTTTCTTTTTAAACAGTTTTCAAATATAAACTTCCAGCGACCCAAAACATCATTTGCAGTGAATTTATTACTGACACCATAAGCAGATAATATAAACGAAGTTGGAATTTTATTTTGATCTGATATTGAGGGTATTGGCTGAACCATGTGTACATTTAATAATGGCGCTTTCTCTATTGTATCATACCAGATTTTTAATTCTTCAAAAGAATTTGTTTTAAAAGATTTCGGTATTGGTATACCATTATCAAGTGGTGACAAAAATCCAACGAAAGAGTTTGTTTTGGCATTATATTTTATTTTTCGGATAATTCCAGTAGAATCTTCAGCTGAAAAACAAAATTTTGTATCTAGAGAATGTAATTGTTGTTGTAATGCATCAAACGTAAATTCTCCTTCTTCCATTGCCGTATCACTATTGTTTAATATATCATTCAATGTGAACAAACTAGGTAATGACCCATACAAATTCATGCGGATAAACTCATAAGTTTGCTTTCCTCCCAAAATGTATAAACAGATCGCAAACTTTTTAACTAAATCATGATACCTAAAGTGATTGCTGGATTTTGATATATTACATATAATATTATCAATAAATATTTTTAGAAAGGAATGTTTATGATCATTATCATCTCTAATATTATCAGTAGATTGATACCACAAAATTAACGAACGTAATAGAGGATGGTTATTAATAAAATTGTTGTCTATCTGTTCTTGTTGGTTATTATTTAACAATGGCTCTTGTTCTTCTTTTTTAGATCTTAATAATTTCAATACATATAATAAACTATTTTTTATTCCAGTTTTAACAAGATATTGTCCATCTTGCATTTTAAAAAAATATTTATTTTGAATATCAAGTAACTGGGGTGATTCATATTTAAAAACATCGAAAACATCAGTGGTAGTCATTAAATTCTCTGCTGAATCAATAGATTGAATTTTCAAAATTTCATAAAGTCCTTCTCCAACTAGTGACTTAATTATTTGAAAAAAATCATCATTTTGCAAAGTAAAAATGTTGTTTGGTAATATAGATGTGTCAAAATTCATGTTTCCGTTGTTACTAATGTTTATTTTGAATAATAATCTAAATTTAAGAGATCTAAAATACTCATGATATTTGTCATATGATAATTATTTAGTAATAATATTATGTTCTTGACAATATTTTGAAAGTCTCCACTGAAAAAAATAGTAAAAATTAGCGTAAATATTTAAACTAGGTATTTATATAAAATTTTGGTGAATAGCCTTTGAATTTGTGTTATAAATTACATGAATCTTTACAATCGATGAAAATATTGATTTTTTTCTTTGCACTCACTTCGATAGTGTTGCTGTCTTTTTTATCAAAGCGAATACATTTCGAATTAATAAATAAAATAAAAAAAGCTAATTTCTGAGTGGTTCTTTTAGCCATCTAATTACAATTCTTGTTGTATTAAAAAAAAATCTCGAACATTGTTCATCTTTCGTTATAATAACATTCCTTTACAGACTATTATTCTGTTGGTATAATTGTTTGATTTACTAAATTATGACTAATTCAGCACTTTTATGGAATAAGAGTTTATCACCAAGTGTACTTTATTTAACAGATGATGATTTTTATGATTTTATAAAGAAACAATTAGGTTATCATCAATCACGTTTACTTGAAATTCAAAAAATTAGTTGCACGTCTGTTTTTCTCATGACAGATGATATTTGTGATGCTTTAGAACTTGATATCGATTGCAAAGAATTAAATGATTTAAAAGAAGAATTATGTTTCAAATTAAAAGATGGGAGTTTTATAGTGAGACCTGGTATTAAAAATAGTTTTGGTTGTTTAAAAACAGTCATGATGAAATTAACAGAAGATAAACTTAAAGAACAATCAAAACGAAAAAATCCATCAACTACAACACGTACAGATTTAGTATCAGCCACAATAAATCCATTAACGACAACATCTTCAAATTTAACATCCACTACAACAAATACATCAACTGAAATAAATGTAGTAGAGCCATTACCACCATCTACATCACAACTTTCAATTGATGATCATAAACAATATCTATTGAATTTGTTAAAGCAATGGTTTCTTCATCAAAAAGAAAATTTAAAATTAGATAAATTAGATTTTACAGACGGCATTGATTTCCATCTGAATGTATTAAATAACAATAATAATATAAATGCAACAATAGTATGCAATTGCGGAATATTAATAAAATTACCTAGCAAAGATGGAAAAATTCAGTTGTCTAATTATTATAAACATTTGCGGGATTCTAAATGTTTACATATGAAGGAGAAAAGAAAAAAAAACAAACAAATAACACCATCTTCGTCAGAAAAAGGATCAACAGAACAAACTGTTACAAATTCAGTAACACCAACACCACAAGCGCCATCAGACACCTCATTATTACAGTCAACAATAACTTTAAGTCCAAAACGTAAATCAACAGCATCACAAATGTCGCTCTCGGTTATGAAAAGACGCAAATACATGCAATAAAAGTTCTGTTTTATTAAAGTTTTGCTTTTTTTTTTATCAATAATTGATTATTTTGATTCATTTAGTATGTCGCATTTTATATTACCTGTTTTATTATTATGCACAGATATTGTTATTTTTTATGAATAGTAGTATTTATTTCTTTTGTATATTCAACATTGCTCTTTTATTCTCATCATAGTTGAAATAAGTACCAGTTCCCAGTCTTCGTATATGTTTTTTTCAGTTCTGTTCGTTATTTCGAGCAAGAGAAATAAACTGACGTTTTTTCTCTTTGAACATTCTAGTGCAAAAAGAACTAAAAGTGAAAAGGGAACTGGTACTTCGTCTTCTACTGTGAATTTTACTTTTATTACTTATTTATTAGATTTTTTTAATGAAAATATATTTTATAAAAGAGGAACTG